CGACTCACAAATGGGTAAGGGCATGAGGGCAGTCTCGGAGACTGCAACTGTCACAAGTGGACGTGTTCATATATGCTCTCGTGACTCAGTCTCCAATCCTTTGTGAGTGTTGATTTTTCTCAGCTCTCAGAGACTTGATTTCATTCTTGTGAATGAATTTTATTTTCAGTTTTTATTTTGGATTTCTGTGTTCTTATTTAATTTTTTTGTTAATTCTTTTTTTAATAAGCGATAAAAATACGTCAGAGAAAGGGAGTGGACTGACGATGAAGTAATGGAGTTAATCCATGTGTACGAGAAACACGAGTTCTTGGGGGACGTTCTCACTTGTAAATCATAAATTGTATAAGAATCACCATAAAAATGAGTAATTGCGAGTGACGAATTTGCCACCAAATTTAAATTGCACTGCAGGCGTCGAATAAACTTTCTGAACTGTTGTGAATCTTTTAACCACAACTCATTTACGAATGATGAACAAGCTACAAATTCGTTTCGTCTATCCTCTCATTTTCTAACTCATAACTCTAAGTTTTCATACTTTCCACTTTTTCGCTATATTATACCCAATTATAAAAGCTGTATCCATTAAAAAAAATTAAAGGTAAAAATAAACAATCGGCCATCAAATCACACAATTGGCTGCGAGTTGACTCTCAAATGAACACAAAATGTCCCTGGTCTTGTGACTGTCAAGTCTCAGGAAGCTGTCTCAAGAGCGAAAGTGGTCTCAAATAGACAACACCCTGAGACTGATCTCGAAATTTTCTCTCGAGACTTGTCTCAAGTAGACATATACCTTAAACTGAGCAGTGGGCTACCCTGAGATAAGGATTTGGATTGTCTCATCCTGGATGATGAGTGTGTTAGAGTGATACTGATAGAGATTTATCTTGTTTGTTTATATTTCTATATTTTTATAATTATTATAAACGATATAAGAGTCGTATAGTTTGTAGACAAATTGTGAGGTACTTTTATATACTTTTTTTTCTTCCGTTCCTGTCTTTTGGCTTTGCAGCTAGCCCAGAATATCCACAAGTGGCACTTGTGTTTAACAGCTCACATTTTGACCCAAGGAAGTTCGTGCCTTGCCAAACTTAAATGGAAGTCCAGTTGCCTACCACTCAGGAGAAATGTCTAACTTCGTTTTATGAAATTCCTCACTGTATGTTTGTTAGCAAAAAGTTAACATCTTCGACTCCCCTTGCATGCCCTATAACATTTATTCTGTGACGCCTCACACAGTTTTTGTTTTTGCAATAGAAAATTCTTCAGCCACTGTATCAATGTTTTTTATCTCCTCCTTACGTTTTCTTTACTACTCGGGCCAAGAGTCGTTAACGGATCATTGATGATGTCAATCTCTTCTCATCCAAGTTGACCAGCACCCCAGCCTTCGTTCCAGTCCACGACGCAGCCTATGATCCATCGCTGCCGAAGCTTGTATAGCTCCTCTGCCCTTTCGCGCTACCCCAAACGAAGAGATCGTTTGAAATGAATAATACGGAGAGTCCGCAACCCAGGCTGCACCTGTCGCGAAGTTTCGTCAAAGACACAAACGTTCGCCTTTACTTCAGTGAAAGGCACTTTGGCTTACCGTCGAAATAGTTACTTAAAAAATTAAAATTAATATTAAAAAAATAGACACATGAATAGATGCACGTTATCGCGGGACCTAAAGGCAGAATCGCACGTATATATTCGGTCATGGAGACAGGACACAGTCTCCACAGAAGGAAAGAATTAGAGGAAGGAGACAATGGATATGGTGAAGGAGGTATCGAAAAGATTAAGAAAGTGGTGGATTGCCGTCGTTGGTCAATGCTTGCCTGGATCTCGGTTTGGCAGTCTCTAACCTTGCAAGGCTGCCGCCTCGAGGTTTCCAAGGCCCAACGATACTCACCGTACTTATCAATTCCCCCATATTTTCCTTAACGAGGTTCCGCTACGCTCCTTCCCGGCTAACAGAGAAAGGAGAAATAAACTCGGGCGACGAAGCAGTTGATTTGAATTTTGCACAGATGTTTCTTTTAGACTTGACGTTTTACATGCATTAAATCTACAACAAGGGTTAGCCGGCTTTTCTTCCGGTCCGAAGGCAGGCGTACGAAGGATTTTTCAGTAACCGTGAGTGACAAGTCGTGAATAGCCTCACGTTACAGAGGACACAAACCTCGAAAAGACGTTCAGCTAGCCTTCAAATTCTGAAGTTCAACTAATAGCAGCCTAGATAAAGGCAGAACCACTAAAATTTCCTCTGTACAAAGATCATAAGCTTTTTAATCTCTCATTTATCTTTATAATTTATAATTTATTTATAATGTACATAGGTGGCTCTTAAAATAGTTTGCTCAGCTTTCTTTTGAATTTCTCCAATTTCCTACCTTATGAAGCATTTAAAGAAAAACGTTCATCCTTCAGCATTTGTGTTATTAACTGTATATATCCAGGCTTCTCTTTTCTGTTTCTGCAGAGAGATTCTAGAAGCATATTGTATTATTTTTCAAGACCAATTCTATTGTTTCCCATGTTTTGTGGGGGGGATCAATGCTTTAAAAAACACACTTCAATTTTTGGAAATTGAAGGAAAACATACACAATCCTAATTCATTTTTATGATCCCCAAATCTATTTTATTTGATGTTAGAAGATGTAAAGTGATGATAATATAAATTATTGACACAATTCCAAAAATTTAAACTACACTTTTTTATTTGAAACATAGGGAAATTGATGTAAGAAGGGAAAGGGTCTTTCATTCGCATCTACGCTTAAAAGAACCCCCAAAAGCAAGGCAAAAATAGGCACCCTTCTAAAATTTAAAAAAAACATTAGTTGTGCAAAACTGGTCTCAATGGAAGCGTTACATGGGAAATTAATATTAAATCCTGCTACAGAATACAAGCTTCGGAAATGAGATTGTTGAAGTCAGTAGAGGCTTTTCTCAAGACTCTTTTTCTCTATCTTCTCTCTCTCTTCTCTCTCTCATCTTTCTATTCGTGCTCTCTCTCGTCTTTGCTCTCTCTCTCTTTCTCTCTCTTTGCTCTCTCTTTCTCTCTCTCTTTCTCTCTCTCTCTTTTCTCTCTCTCGTTTCCTCTCTCTCTTTCTCTCTCTCTTCTCTCTCTCGTCTTTCCTCTCTCTCTTTCTCTCTCTCTTTCTTTTTCCTCTCTTCTTTTTTCTTTCTACTCTCCCTTCCTCTTCTTTCTCTCTTTCTTTTTCTTTTCTTCTTTCTTTTTTTTTTTTTTTTTTTTTTTTTTTTTTTTTTTTTTTTTTTTTTTCTTTTTTTTTTTTTTTTTTTTTTTTTTTTTTTTTTTTTTTTTTTTTTTTTTTTTTTTCCTCTCTCTTTTCCTCTCTCTCTCTTTCCTCTCTCTTCTTTCTCTTCTCCCAGTCTTTCTCTCTCTCTCTTTCTCCTCTCTCTTATATCCCTCCCTCTCTCTCTCTCTCTCTCTCTCTCTTTCTCTCTCTCCTCTTTTCTCTCTCTCTCTTTTCTACTCTTCTCTCTTTCTTTCTCTCCTCTTTCTCTCTTCCCTCTTCTCTTTCTCTCTCTCGTCTTTCTTCTCTCTTCTCTTCTCTCTCTTCTCTTTTCTCCCTCTTTTCTCTCCTCTTCCCTCTTTTCCTCGTCGTTCTCTCTCTTTTCTCTCTCTCTCCTCTTTCTCCTCTCTCTCTCTTCTCTCCGTCTCTCTTTCTACTCCTCTCCTCTCTTTCTCTCTCTCGTCTCTTTCCTCTCTCTCTCGTCATCTCTCTTTCTCTCTCCTCTTATCTCTCCGCTCTTTCTCTCTCTCTTTCTCGTGTCTCTCTCTCCTCTCTTTCTCTCTCGTCTCTCTTCTTTCTCGTTGTCTTTCTCCTCTCTCACTCCCTCTCTTATTCTTTCTCTCTCTCTTCT